TAAGGCACTTGACTGCTAACCAGAAGGCTGGTGGTTCAAACCGACCAGCTACTCCTCGGAAGGAAGGTTGGGCAATCTACTTCCATAGTGATACTGCCTCAGCACCTCAAGGAGGGGTCGCTATGAGTCAGGTCCCATTTGATGGCACATAACAACAACAACAACAACATATACATATAAACATGCATGTATACATATAATTATATATATATATATATATATATATATATATACACACACACACACATTTATACATATAAATATGTATATTATATATATGCATGTATTATATTTTATTGAGAAGCTCTGGTGGTGAGATGCGTAAAGTTATTTGACTGCTAACCAGAAGGTTGGCAGTTCAAACCCACCAACCACTCCACAGACAGAAAATGGGGCGTTCTACTTTCGTAAATATTTTGCCACCTTGGAAAACCAATGGGGATTGCTATGAATTGGAATTAAGTCAATGGCAGTGAGTTTGGTTTTGGTTTTACATATTACGTTAGATAACACATGCTATGAAAATAAAGCTAAAGAAGCAGGTAAATAATATAGGTATACAAGTCTACCATATTGCATGCAATGGTGGAGAAATCAGAAAGTATTGGAATATGCTGCAATAAAATACAACCTTAACATGTCAGTGGCCACACAAAAACAAATAAATATTATTTTTTCTTGACCACCTTGTACATCTGGGAGGGAATCCTAGAAATCCACTCATTTAAATCCCTTTGGGATCAAGGATGATGGAGCACTTGGTTGCCTATTTTGTCAGTTTCTTTTCCTGAATATGTTTATGTTTATTTTCATAGACAAACTTAATAATTTTTTTATTTATTTATAATATGTATACTGATTTTTTTCAGTTTTGGGTCCATGATGATGAACTTAGATAAAAAAGTGGGAAATAATTTTTCAGTAACTGTGTTTTCCATGTGAATGAACTATAGGATTTTAATTTCTTCCAACTAGTGTGTAAAGGAATTTGAACTGCAGATATAATCCTACCCTCAGTATTTAATAAAGTTGACAATCTTATCATTTACCTTAAGCTATCATTGGCTAGCTAAACATGGCACAGACAGAGTTCAAATATAGAATGGATGAGGGCAAAAAGAAGTTTCTAAACTGACTGTAGGAGCTCTGGTGGCTAGTGTTTAAGGCATTTGACTGCTAACCAGAAAGCTGGTGGTTCAGACCCACCAGCCACTCCTGGGAAAGAAGACTGGGCAACCTACTTCTGTAGAGATATCGCCTGGGAAACCCAAGGAGGGATTGCTATGAGTTGGATCAACTTGATGGCAGTGAGGGTTGTTTTTTTTTTTGTATTAAATGACTTTGGGTATAAGTTCTGATTATACTTTTCATGTTCTGCATGATCTTTCTTTCTGACATTCAGATGCATTTTTACAATGAGTTAGAATTTTCTTAATATGAATACAATATGACAATATGCTTTACACTTGGAAAAAGTAAAATGCTTAAAAATATATAAATTCCTTATAACAAAGATGAGTTTCACATTTTGATAATGGCAGCACCCAAATAACAACTATGTTCAATTCCCACCTACATGTACCTTAAGTGAAGTTATGATCAAACTGACAAAGAAAAAAAAAAAAAAGGAAAAAATAACAACAGTGAAAATGTGAACTATGAGAGAATATTAAAGAAAGTAAGGGCTCCAGAGAAGATTGTAGGGAATATTAGGAATATTGATAACACCAAACCAAAAACCAAACTCACTGCCATCGAGTCAATTCTGCTTCATAGTGAGCCCCTTTGGGTTTCCAAGGCAGTGAATCATTATGGAAATAGATTGTCTAGTCTTCCTTCCATGGAGTGTCTGGTGGGTTTGAACTGCCAACCTTCTGGTTAGCAGTCAAATGCATTATGCACTGTGCCAAAGGAACTTGTAAATGGTTCCTTAGATCTTCAATCATTTTATTTATATTCTTGTTTAACAGTACCAAAGGATGTAACAACAGGGACTGATCTCAATTCCTTAATATGAAGAAATTAATCATCTAACATTTATGTTTTGTCTCATGAATCTAAGCTTTGCCATCTTTGTTTAAGAAGTGTGAAAGTACCTGGTGGCCTCAATGACAGTTTTGATAAAGCTTGTTCTAGATAGAACACCAGGAGTGTAGCTGCAAACCATTTGCTATAGAGATTAGGAGTATAATTTATGGCTCTCATCAACCATCTCCTAGGAAGGGCTCACAAGTTACTCTGAAGCAGACAAAGAAAGGACAAATTAAAGGAAAGCTTTTCAACTCCTGAACTTCTACAGACAGAAAACAGGATTATAGAGTTACCTTAGTTTGAACATGATTTATCCTCTGAAAAAATCGAAGGACAATGCTAAGAATTATTCAAAGGCCAGCAGGATCAACGTTGGTTCAAGGTGTGGGGTGTTGCCTCCTCAGTTATGGGGGAAAGACCAAGATCCAGGGAAGAGGTTGCAAGGTTTTTCTCAATGCCAAGGGATAGGATCCATACCAACATGGATGCAGAGTATGCAGTCCATTCACAGATGGTCAAAAAGGGTAGGTCTACCCCCAAAGTAGATCCAGAAGTCAAGGGATTATTTTCAATTATTGAAATCTAATGGAATTTTCTCTGATTTGTTTGGAAACCATAACATTTTTATTATTGTTCTTTTACTTTCTATTTTGTGAACTAACAATTGTCTATTCTATGCCAATTACACACTATATTTTGAAAGGACACTTATTTATTGAAAGTTTCATAATTACATAAAACCAAACAAACAATAAAAATCACTGCCACTTGATGCCAGCTCATAGCGACCACTGTTGGGTTTCTGAGGCAGTAAATCTTTACAGAAGTAGACTGCCCAATCTTCTTACATGGAGGGCTGGTGCGTTTCAACCACCAACCTTCTGGTTAGCAGTCAAATTCGTTAGGCACTATGGATGTAGACAATTTTTTCCCTAGGGTGGAATATACACAGAGGCATATTCATACTTGATTTATGTAATTTAGAAGATAACATTGTGGACTTAGAGTTGACACTATAATGTGTTAAAACTTTTTGAGATGCTGGGATGAGATGAATGTAATTTACAAATAGGAAAGACATGAATTTTGAGATCAGAAGGTAGACTGTTACTGATTAAATGTTTCCTTCCAAAATATAGTTTGTCGTTGAAACCCTGGTATTTGGGAAAATGAAGTTTCTGATACATTACCCTTTAAGATTTTATCACTGAAATTAACATCTTTGTTATGATAAATTTATATATTTTTAAGCATTTTACTTTTTTCAAGTGTAAAGCATATTGTCATATTGTATTCATATTAAGAAAATTCTAACTCATTGTAAAAATGCATCTGAATGTCAGAAAGAAAGATCATTCAGAACATGAAAAGTATAATCAGAACTTGAACCCAAGTTCATAACTTCATTCCTATTTAATTGGAGTGATATCCTAATAAAAAAGAAGAGATGCCTAGAGGGAGACAGAGGAAAGCAGTCATAGAAGATGTATCTACAAGTCAGGGAATGCCTGGACCTACCAGAACCTAGAAGAGAGAAGAAAATACCCTCTCCTATAGTAGGAGCTCTGGTAGCATAGTGCCTAAGGCACTTGACTGCTAACCAGAAGGCTGTTGGTTCAAACCCACCAGCCACTCCTCAGAAGGAAGGTTGGGCAATCCTACTTCCGTAGTGATACTGCCTCGGAAACCCAAGGAGGGCTCACTATGAGTCGGGGCCGACTTGACGACAAATAACAACAACAACAACATAGACTTCAGTGAGAGGGTATTGTGTTGATTTAGCCTCATGCATTCTTAGTCAATATAGTCCTCTTCTTATTGGTTACAGAATATGTGTTGTTTTGTTTCAATAGTCCTAATAAACTAATAAAATAGGAAGAAAAATGCTTAGCTCATTTTTAAAGTAATACTTGCAATTTAGGATATTTGCTCTTTCATTTCTGTAATATTGTGAAAAACTGTATTTTAAAGTGTCAATGTCATCTCCATCTCTTATAAAATAATTTTCCTGTGTGATTATAAATTAAATGTATGAGACTTTCATTTTTGGACTTTGAAGACCACCCAGAACACTGAGGCTTTCTTATTCTTCTGTTTGGAGCCCTGAACTGCCCTCTCCAGGGGATTGGGCTTTCTCTCTGTTCCTGATGCCCTGTTGTTGCTGCTCATTAAACTCAATCATGTGAAGAACTATTGAATAATATTAAATGGGTAAGTGAGACTAATGGAGTTAATGAAGAGACATCATTGACCAAAAATTTTTAAGGATATTCCATCAGACTTCCAAGTTTCCAGAGAACTTCAGTTAAGATGAAGTTAACCAGTTAACCAGTTTACCAGAAGGCTAACCAGAAGGCTGGCAGTGCAAATCCACCAGCTACTCCTCAGAAGGAAGGTTGGGCAATCTACTACCATACTGATACTGCCTCAGAAACCCAAGGAGGGGTTGCAATGAGTTGGGTCTGATTCGATGGCACATAACAACAACAACAATGTTAGCAGAAATATTAGTACTAGTATGCTGATGTTTCAGTTTCTATTTCCATTCTTAGTTCTTGTGATGATCTACTGTGCCCAATTCACTAAAAACTTTAGTGAGTTGATTAATTTAACATTCACAGTGTGTTATGGACTCAAGGAGAAATGCTTTTCTTTTTTTAAACCATCTTTTGAGGTTAGGTTTATTAATATTCAATTACAGAGGAAGAATAAACATCACTTAAAAAGTTTAAACTCATCATGTCTTTACACGTCTTCCAAGTTTGTTTCATACTTGAACTTAGACTTCTGTCTCTGAATGTTCTAAGACTTAATGTTAAAATTCTACAAACATTCAATTTTACTTTTGGAAAAAATAGCTCATAAACAAACTCTTACTTTAAAAATGTTAGAAAAATGATGTATGTATGAAAGATTTAAAAATCAGTAATGCTTATTTTCTCTCCCAGCTGAAAGCTGTAAATTGAAACATGTATTCAAAGACTCAAGCTTCAGAAAATCACACTTCAAGCAACTATTTCATCCTTGTGGGGCTCTTTGATCAAACAAATATGCAGTCTTTGTCTACACCTTAAGCTTTGTCTTCTTGATGGCTGTAGCTGGGAATGCTCTTCTCATCCTCCTGATCCACAGGGATCCCTGCCTCCACACTCCCATGTATTTCTTCATCAGTCAGCTCTCCTTTATAGACTTCTTGCACATATGTGTGACAGTGCCCAAGATGCTCTTGGACCACATTACTGGAGATAATACAATTTCCTTCTTAGGTTGTGGTGTCCAGATGTTTTTCTATCTGACCCTCGTTGAAGCTGAGGTTTTCTTTTTGACTGTCATGCCCTATGATCGATATACTGCCATTTGTAGACCACTCTATTACCCACTTCTCATGAACCAGAAAGTCTGCCATCTCTTCATGTTTGGATACTGGTTCTTGGGAATGTTTAATGGTGTTTTGCTCACCTCAATGACTATGAGTTTACCTTTTTGCCAGTTCAGGAGAGTCATGAACTTTTTCTGTGAGGCTCCTGCCCTGCTGAAGCTCTCCTGCTCTGACATCTCCTTCTACGAGAGGTTCATGTATCTGTGCTGTGTCTTCATGATCCTCATACCCATTGTGATTATATCTGTTTCATATACTGTTATCCTGCATCTCATCCACAGCATAAATTCAACTGAAGGCAGTAGAAAGGCCCTGGCTACATGTTGCTCCCACATGGTAGTAGTGCTGCTCTTTTTTGGTGCCGGCATATACACCTACATGTTCCCCAGATCCTACCACACAAGTGAACAGGACATGATGGTTTCTGCTTTTTACACCATCTTAATGCCTGTGCTGAATCCCCTCATTTACAGCCTCCAGAACAAAGATGTCACAGGAGCTCTGAGGAACATGATGCCATCAGTGATGACACTAAGAAAAGTTGTAAATGGGAAAACCTAGTAATGACCATGCCTCGCTTCTCCTTTCTTCTTATCTTCCATTCATATCTTTCTTTTCATTCTTCCCCTGGTTCCTGGACCCCAAAATAAAGTCTTAGAAAATATTTCCTCCTCTCATTCCTGAGGCACTTCTCTTTTACACTGCTTGTCTATTTTGAGTAATCAATTTATATCTGGTTCTTTACAGTCCATTATTTACAATGTAATAGCTGGTATATGGAAAACTTTAAAAAACGCCTTATATATTAACACATGTCAAAACTTCATTGTCATTTTCACATGAAATTTGTAGAGTAAATGCTTTAATCCTAAAAATAGATCATTGTAAAGAGTCCTGGAGGGAAACTGGCTATTCCTTAGCATTGCACATTCCCTTAAGTCATAATTCCCTTGTTTCAATCACTTCATGGAATGCTGCAGTTGCATCTACAGTAAGTGTATCTACACATATTTTTCCCCCAAGTGTTGGAAAGTTACTTTTAAAGATAAACACTAAGGGTTTCCATAATACTTGGCCATGTGAACTATCCAGACAAATACCAATCCACATTACAGTTAGAGTTCAAAGAAAATGTTCTGTATCCTATTTTGTTGAGTAGTGACTGGGGTCTTAAAGCTTGTGAGTAACCATTTAAGGTGCAACTGTTGTTCTCTTCACATATAGAGCAAAGTAGAGGGAATAAAAAAAAAAATCTAAGGCACATTTAAAAAAAATAATAATAATCCAAAGGACCAATGGACAATGCAAACCTCAACCTCCACAAGCCTGAAACCAAAAGAATTATATGATGACCAGGTACGAGTAAGGACTGCTCTGAAATTGATTACAGTAAAAGGTCCTGGATAGGGTGGAAGAAATATATGTAAGAAAACTCAAACTCTAAAAAAGACCAGGCTTACTTGTTGGATACAGACTGGTGGAATTCCCAAGAGTTTGGCTCCTCAGTCCTGGAGCTGAACTAGCTCCTGGGGCTCAATTTTCAATCAAACAATAGACAGATATACAAGGTGGATAATAATACTAGGGAGATATGCACTCTTTAGAAGAATCAACCATTAGAGATAAAAGGGGCATCATTCACCTAAGGACAAAATTTAGAAGCCAGTAAAGGTTAGGAAAGTAGAATAAATGGAAAAAGAAACCCAGGAGAAATTGGGATAAGTGATATTACATTGAGGGGATTTCATTCAATGACATGACCAAAATATGTGTGAGCTGTTGAATGTTGTTGTTTTTGTTGTTAGGTGCTTCCAAGTCATCTCCAACTCATAGTGAGCACATGCACAACAGAACAAAACACTGCCTGGTCCTGGGCCAGTTTCATGATCTTTACTGTACCTGAGCACATCATAAAGCCACCGTGTCAATCCATCTCATTGAGGGACTTTCCTGTTTTCGTTGGTCCTCCACTTTACCAAGCATGATATCCTTCTCTAGAGAACGGTCTCTTCTGACAAAATGACCTAAATAGGTGAGACTAAGTCTGGCCATTCTCTCCTCCAAGGAGTATTCCAGTTTCACTTCATCCAGGATAGATTTGTTAGTTCTTTTAGCAGTGCATGGTACTTTTCAGTATTCTTTGCCAACACAACACCTCAAAAGCATCAACTCTTCTTTGGTCTTCCCTATTCATTGTCTGGCTCTCGCATGCATAGAAGGTGATCAAAAACACCATCGTTTGTGTCAGGTGAACCTTAGTCTTAATCTTTGCTCTTCAGTAATTGAAAGAAGACCTTTGCAACAGATTTGCCCCAATGCAACGCATCGTCTGATATCTTGATTGTTGCTTCTATTGTTGCTGATATAGAACCCAGTAATATGAAGTCTTTGACAACTTCAATCTTTTCTCCATTTATCATGATGCTGCTTATTAGTCCACTGGTGAAGAGTTTTGTTTTCTTTATATTGAGGTGTGATCCATATTGCAGATTGTAGTCTTTAATCTTCAACAAGTCAACCTCACTTTAAGCAAGCAAAGTTGTGTCATCTGCATATTGCAGGTTGTTAATGAGTTTTTCCCCAGTCTTGATGTCATGTTCTTCTTCATATAGTCCAGCTTGTTGGAATATATGATAAGCATACAGATTGAATAAATATGGTAAAAGGATACAAACTTGACACACTCTTGATTTTAAACCATGCAATAAATCCCTTGTACTGTCCAAATGACAGCCTCTTTATCTATGTATGGGTTCCTCATGAGTACATTCAAGTGTTCTGGAATTCCCATTCTTCTCAACATTATCCACAATTTGTTATGATCAACAAAATCGAATGTTTTGCATAGTCAATAAAACACAAATAAACATCTTTCTGGTATTCTTTGCTTTGAGCCAAGATCCATCTGACATCAACAATGATATCCCTAGTTCCACATCCTCTTCTGAATTCAGCTTGCATTTCTGGAAGCTTTCTGTCAATATACTGCTGCAACCGCTTTTGATTTATCTTCCTAAGATTTTGCACACATGTGATATTAATTATGTTGTTTGGTAATTTCCACATTCTGTGGAATCACCTTTCTTCAGAATGGATACAAATATGGATCTCTTCCAGTCAGTTGCTCAGGTAGCTGTCTTCCAAATCTCTTGATATAGCCGAGTGTGTGCCTCCAGTCAGGCATCTGCTTGTTGAAACATCTCAATGGGTATACCATCAGTTCTTGGAGGATGTGTCCATTCCTTCAGTGTAGGTTTGACTTCTTCCTTCAATACAATTGGTTCTTGATCATATGCTACTGCCTGAAATGAATAAATATTGACCAGTTCTTTTTTGGTACAGTGACTCTGTGTATTTCTTCCATCTTCTTTTGATCTTTCCTGAATCATTCAATATATTGCCCATAGAAACTTTCAATATTGAAATTTGAGGTTTAAATTATTCCTCAGTTCTTTCAGCTTGAGAAATGCCAAGCATGTTTTTCCCTTTTGGTTTTCTAACTCCAAGTCTTTGTGCATTTCATTATAGTAATTGGCTTTGTCTTCTCAAGTTGCTTTTTGAAATCATCTGTTTAGTTCTTTTGTCTTGTCATTTCTTCCATTGCTTTAACTACTCTCTGCTCAAGGGCAAGTTTGAGTCTCTTCTGACAACCATTTTGGTCTTTACTTCCTTTCCTGTCTTTTTAATGACTTCTTGCTTTCTTCATGGATGATGTTCTTGATGTCATCCCACAATTCTGCTGGTTTTTGGTCATTGGTATTCAGTGCATTAAATCTGTTCTTTAAATGGTCTCTAAATTCAGAAAGAATGTTATCAAGATCATATTGTAGCTTTTGTGGAATTGTTTTAATTGTCTTCAACTTTAACTTGATCATGTATATGAGCAGTTGCTTGTCTGTCCCATGATCAGTTCATTGGCCTTGTTTTGGCTGAAGATATTGAACTTGTCTGTAGCCTCTTGCCACAGATGTAGTCAATCTGATTCCTGTGTATTCCATCTGGTGAAATCCACATATATAGCAATCATTTATGTTGTTGAAAGAAGGTGCTTTCAATGAATAAGTTGTTGGTCTTGTAAAATTATATCATGCAATGTGCAGCATTATTTCTATCACCAAGGCCATATTTTCTAACTATTGATAACTCTAATCTATTTCCAAATTTTGCATTCCAGTCACCATTGATAATCAACACATCTTGATTGTTTTTCAGTGAATTTAAGACTGCAAAAGTTGGTATAAATCTTCAATTTCCATTTTTGGCTTTGGTGGTTGGTGTATAGATATTGCCACCTAGTCAGTGCCATAATTTAGTCTTTAGAAGGCCATTCTATCATTCTGTTAAGCCAGCTGCTTTAGGATGATGGAAAGCATGGTAAGATAAATGAATTTCATGAGAATGGGCCAATTGCTATAACTCATTTGTTTTGAAGTGAGTTCCTTGATCCAAGGGAATGCTGTGTTGTTGTTAGGTGCCATTGACTCATCTCCAACTCTTAGCGACCCTATACCCAGCAGAACAAAGCACTGTGAAGTCCTGTGCCAGGACAATCCCTGTTTTACCTGAGCCCATTGTTGCAGCCACTGTATCAATCCATCTAATTGAGGGCCTTCCCCTTTTTTGTTTACTCTCCACTTTACCAAGCACAATATACTTCTCCAGGGAATGGTTCCTTCTGACAACATGACCAAAGTAGGTGAGACAAAGTCTGGCCATTCTCACTTCCAAAGGGTATTCCAGCTACACTTCTTCCAGGACAGATTTGTTAGTCCTTTGGATTTCTTCTCCAACACCACAGCTCAAAAGCATCACCTCTTCTTTGGCCTTCTTATTCATTGTTCATTTCTCACACACGTAAGTGGCTATTGAAAACACCATGGCTTATGTTAGGCACATCTTAGTGCTTGAAGAGACATCTTTTCTCTTCATCACTTGAAAGTGGTCTTTTGCAGCAGATTTGTCCAATGCAATAGGTCATCTGATGTCTTGACTGCTACTTCTATTGGTGTTGATTATAGAGCCAAGTAGTATGAAAATCTTGACAACTTCAATCTTTTCTCTGTCCATCTTGAAACTGTTTATTGCACCAGTTGTGAGGATTTTTGTTTTCTTATTATTGGGGTGTAATCCATACTGCAGACTAGTTTTTAATCTTCATCAATAACTACTTCAAGTCATCCTCATTTTCAGCAAGCAAATTTGTGTTGTCTGTTTATCTCAAGTTGTTCATGAGACTTACTCTAATCCAGATGCCACATTTTTCTTCATATAGTCCAGCTATATAGTCTTAAATTCATATAGTCTTAAATTCACTGAAAAACAATATGAAGTTGCATGGCATAAAAATTGAATAAGTATGGTGAAAAGATACAACTCTGATGCACTCTCTTCTTGATTTCAAACCATGCAGTATCCCCTTGTTCTTTCTGAACAAAAGCCTCCTGATCTATGTATGGGTTCCTCATGAATACAATCAATTTATGGAATTCTCATTATCTTCAATGTTATCCATAATTTGTCATGATTCACACAATTGAATGCTTTTGCATAGTCAATGAAAC